AAAAAAAAAAAAAAAAGAATACCAGCATTGTATGTGGGAGAGTAGAGGGAGTTGTGGACAGTTTTAGAAGTTACCACATTATGTTCTTGGAGTTCTGATATTACATGGGTAATATTAAATAGTAGGAATTTGCGGGAGGTTTAGTTTAAAAAATGATTCTCTTGCATGTCCTTCCCCCCACACTATTGAAAGACCAAAGTGTATTCTTCCCTCATGGGTTCTTATATCTCTGTGGTATCATTTGGAAATGCATGTCAGGGCAAAATGGGGAGTTTTTGTATGTTTTGGGTTTTTTGGAAATAGGATATTACTTTTACCCGGTATGGTGTGCAATACACTATTCTCATAATAGCTCACTGCAACCTCAAACTTCCGACCTCAGCCTTCTGGGTACCTGGAACTACATGCCTATTCCACAAGGCCCAATTCATTATTTGAATTTTTTTTGTAGAGTTTTTTTGTAGAGTCTCACTGTGTTTCCTAGGTTGGTCTCAAATTCCTGGCCTAAAGCTATCTCTTGCCTCAGCCTTCGAGAGTGCTGGAATTACAGGTGTGAACCACTGTGCCTGGCCTGGAATCTCTTGTTTTAGAAGCTTATTTCTTACTCGTAGTTAGGTTGATACTCTGAGTTTTCCAAAACTCCAATTCAAGTTTTAAAATTTCTTCTTATTAGTAAAAATAAAAAGCCTTTTCTTTCTGTTCAGTAATAGTAGGAATCTTACTAATTTTTCTAAAGTAGTTACCATTTTGGTGCCTGTAGTTCAGTGAGTAGGGCACCAGCCACATACTCCAAGGCTGGCAGATTCAAGCCTAGCCCAGGCCTGCTAAACAACAATGACAACTACAACCAAAAACAATAAATAAAAATTAAAAAATGAAAGCTGGGCTCGGCACTTATGGCTCAAGTGGCTAAGGCACCAGCCATATACACCTAAGGTGGTGGGTCCGAATCCAGCCCAGGCCTGCCAAACAACAATGATGGCTACAACCAAAAAAAAAAAAGCCAGGTGTTGTGGTGGATGCCTGTGGTCCCAGCTACTTGGGAGGCTGAGGCAGGAGACTCACTTGAGCCCAGTAGTTGGAGGTTGTTGTGAGCTATGATGCCATGGCACTCTACCCAGGGGGACAGCTTGAGACTTTGTTCTCAAAAAAAAAGAAAGCCAGTTGCCATGTCTGTAGTAGTAAATGCTTATGTGCCAAAAGATCTTCTAACTTTTCCCACAGTATTGCGGGCAAAATTTAGCAGTGTTGGCTTCTCTCTTCTTTTTTGGTTTATTTGTTTTATAACAATAGCTCCAAAAAATATCTCTTTTATGTGGGCTAGAGTGGAGAGCTGTCATCGTAGCTTGCTATAGCCTTAAACTCCTGCTTCATCTTCCCAGATAGCTAGGACTATTGGCATTTGGCCACCACAGCTGTTTTATTTTGACTTTTCTTTTAATCAGACTGGTAGTACCTACATAAGAGGATTTCCTGGCCCTATAAGTCTCACTAGTTTAAGTACAATAATTTAAACTGCTGGCTCCAAATGCAGTTTTGCTAGTTTGGTGGCACATACCTATAGCCTCAGTTACTTGGGAGGCTTGATTCTAGGAGTTTGAGTTTGAGTTCAGCCTAGACAATATAGTACCTTGTGTCTTTAAAAAAGAAAAAAATATTTTCAGTTTAACTACCAGTTAACTTATCCTTTATAATTGCTGTTAAAGATTACATTTAGGTGGTTTGATAATCATTTTGAGTTGGTGAAGTAAGTTAAGAATATATTTCATCTGCAATGGGTAGGGGAGGTTCATTGACCTGAAAAGCTTTAATACTAGGCAGGTATTAGTGTCCTGCCTGTTTCCCCCATGTAGTCTGGGCCTAATTTCAAAGCCCCCCTAGGAGTCAGGTCTGTCATTTATATTGGTCTTTCATTAATAAGTCAGGCTTACTAACATTATGAAATCTGATTCTTTTTGGAGACTTATTACATAATTCCCATCTGATCTTTTATGGTAGATTAGGTGTATAAGATCCATCTCTGGCAGGATCCTATGACTAAAGCTTGTAATCTCAGTGCTTAGGAGGCAGAGGTAAGAGGATAGCTTCAGGCCAGGGATTTGAGGTCACAGACAGTAAACTATGATCACACCACTGTACTCTAGCCTAGGTGACAGAAAACCCCATTTCTGATTTATTTTAAAAAAAAAAAAAATGCGGTGGTGGAGGGAGTAGGTGTGGTGTTTCACACTTGTAATCCTAGCACTCTGGGAGGCTGAGGCCAGAGGATCACTTGAGCTCAGGAGCCTAGAGACCAGCCTGAGTGAGAATGAAACTCTGTCTATTAAAGATAGGAAAATGAGTGGGTTTTATGGCAGTCACCTGTAGTCCCAGCCACTAAGCCAGTGTGATGCCATAGCAATCTAACCTCAGGTAACAAGGCCAGACTCTCTAAAAAAAAAACCCCCACCAATCCTAGTGCTTTTATTTCTGAATGTCAGCAAATAGAATTGAATAACTCAAATTGTGTTTGTATTTAATGTCTTTTTTTTTTCCCCCCATTTGCTCTTTCCTGGTTTTCCTGCTTCTTACATATTTAGGTCGTCTCATGCGCTGTGTCCGCTGCCCTGTGGCATACCATGCCAATGACTTTTGCCTGGCTGCTGGGTCAAAGATCCTTGCATCTAATAGTATCATCTGTCCTAATCACTTTACCCCTAGGCGGGGTTGCCGAAATCATGAACATGTTAATGTTAGCTGGTGCTTTGTGTGCTCAGAAGGTAAGAAATAACTTGTTCTATGAGTAGTCTAAAAGGGATTGATACGTTTCAATTGGAAGAATAGTTTTCTTCATGTTGTTACTGGAGAAAATAGTAGGAAATGATGTCCCAAATTAATGGTAACATAGCAGAATTTTTAAAACTTAACTTTGATGCCTGATAGGGAGAGGTTTTATTTTTGTTATTTTGAATAATGACTTAATTTTTATTAAAATAAACAATTGCAGCTTGGCGCCTGTGGCTCAAGTGGGTAAGGGTTGAATCCAGCCCAGGCCTGCCAAATAACAATGATGGCTGCAACCAAAAAATAGCCAGGCGTTGTGGCAGGCACCTATGGTCTCAGCTACTTGGGAGGCTGAGGCAGGAGACTCGCTTGAGCCCAGGAGTTAGTTGGAGGTTGCTGTGAGCTGTGATGCCACAGCACTATACCCAAGGAGACAGCTTGAGGCTCTGTCTCAAAAAATTTAAAAAATAAATAAATAAATAACAATTGCAGCTCGGTGCATGTAGCTCAATTGGCTAGGGCCACTTACACCAGAGCTGGCAGGTTCGAATTCAGCCTAGGCCCACCAAACAACAGTGACAACTGCAACTGGAAAAAAAAAATTGAAGCATTAAAAAATAGAGAGAAAGAAAAAACTTAGCCCCAAATCCCACTCTAGACATTTATGCATGCCAACAGGTAGAAGGGCAGATATATCATGGTGACTCAGTCTTATAATCCTATTTTAGGAGGTTAAGGCGAAAGGGTCACTTGAGGCTACAAGTTTAAAACTAGCCTAAGGAACATAGGGAGACTCTATCTCTGGAAAAAAATAGAAAAATTAGTCATGGTAGCTCTGGGAGACTCAGGCACACGAATTGTGTGAGGTTTCAGGAAGCTATAGGGACAGCATTGTACCCTATCCCAGGCAAGAATGAGACTCTTTCTCTAAAGGACACATATCTAGATAGAAACAATGCTAAAAAATACTGTCATTATATAATTGTCTTTAAAAATTGTTTTATTTATTTATATTTTTATTGGGTACAAGTCTAATTTTGTTATATGCATAGATTGCATAGTTGTGAAGTCAGGGCTTTGAAGGTATCCATCATTTGGTTGTATGTGTGATTGTGTTTAATTTTGCGTGAATTAAGAGAGGAAAACGCTGAAAGTGAATATGAACTTCAGTTAAATTTTTCTTCATTAAAAGAGAAGTTAGTTCTTCAAAGAGTTTGTAAGGTGCAGGAAAAGTAAATTTTATACCTTTATTAAATTTCAGTTTATAACATATTTCCCTTTAGATTAGAAAACAATATTAGCCCTCTCACACATTTTCTTTCCTTTTCTCTTTCCATCTTTCACAGGCTGATTTATGCTAGTAATCCTAAGTGGAGGATTAAGTACTTACTATCAGTATGTTTACTTTTGTGCTTATAGTTCTGAATTTTTTATTTCAGTTTTTTCTTATTTGTTTTTCCTATCTTTTTTTTTTCTGTCTCCTGGTAGAATGCAGTGATGTTATCATAGCTCACTGCAACCTTAAACTCCAGAGCTGTATCACCTCCTATGTCACCCTCCAAAGTAGCTGGGACTACAGGCACCTCCCATCATACCTAGTTTGAATTTTGGTTTGTATCTTTGGCCAAATTGCATTGCAAAGGTTTTGAATGTCTCCATTTGCCCATTTATAAAATAGGAACTTCTTTATCACACAGGCATATTATAATAGTGTAAATTAAATTAAAAATAATGTGGTTAGACTAGGAGTGCTAAGGTGGGTGGATTGCCTGAGCTCACAGGTTCCAGACCAGCCTGAGCCAGAGTGAGACTTCTTCTCTAAAGCCAGGTGTTATGGTGGGCACTTGTAGTCCCAGCTACTTGGGAGGCTTAGGCAAGAGAATCACTTGAGCTCAAGACTTACAGGTTGGCTCGGCGCCTATAGCTCAACCGGCTAAGGCGTCAGCCACGTACACCTAAGGTGGCGGGTTCGAATCCCCAGCCCGGACCTGCCAAACAACAATGACGGCTGCAACCAAAAAATAGCCGGGCGTTGTGGCGGGCGCCTGTGGTCCCAGCTACTTGGGAGGCTGAGGCAGGAGAGTCGCTTGAGCCCAGGAGTTGGAGGTTGCTGTGAGCTGTAATGCCACAGCACTCTGCCCAGGGCGACAGCTTGAGGCTCTGTCTCAAAAAAAAAAAAAAAAGACTTACAGGTTGCTGTGAGTTAAGATGCCATGGCACTGTACTGAGGGCAAAAACTGAGACTCTGTCTCCCCCCCCCCCCAAAAAAGTGGTTAAAGCCCTAACATAGATAATTAAGGTTTTGAATTTTTTTTTAATTATTATTTATTACGGGGACCACTGCAATAGGATTTTGTAGTTGGGGGGGGGGATTAGTATCAGTTTCCAGAAAATAAGTTCTAATGATTGTTGGTCTTATTTTTATTTTGTTTTGTTTTAATTTCTTTATTCATAGTGTAGGACTTTTTTTCACATCTTGTCTTATTCTGTTTGATTTTCTTCTAAAAGCTTTTCCCATTAGTAATAAACTCTTCTCCTTAAGAAATGACTTCTCCTAAGAAAACAATACTTCTTTCCTCTTTCTTGAGATAAAGATCACTATGGAGATCTGTATCATCAGATATCTATGTCAGTAATTTTGTAAAAGGAGATTTCCCTTACTTGTGATATGATGTTCTCTTGTATTTCATTTCATGTACCTAGAAACTGGAGTCTAGTTAATTTTAGAAGTTTCTTCCTTAGAAGAAAGTAAGGAAATTGAGTGCAATCTGATGGATGGAAGAGACATTACATTCCTTTTAGAAATTTGGATATATTCAATAGTGCTAAATCCAAAGGGAAAAAATGGCTGTTTCTGTATTTGAAGACTCAATTTAAACCTGCATGTGTTTGTGTTCTTAAGATTTATTCAACATGACAAGAAAAGGATATGCACTGGAGTTTGCAACAAAACATTTACACATTCTCAAACTATGGTGCTATTATACAAAAAAATAAAGTAAGAGTTTTCAGTGCAATTATGTCAGTTGGAAGTAAAACTTTGGTGGAGGGATATTTTAATATAGAAAGAACACCATTTTTAGGTATGTTAGGGACTTATTCATTGTTAGCTATGTGATTGTCCTATAAATTCTCTGGTATCATGAATTCTTTTTTGTTCTTCTAATATATATTCCTTATTAAACTGTGTTCTGATGAACCCATATGCCTATTTATCATTTTACCATTTTTAATTTCTTTTGAATAAAACAGAGGGCTTTTGTACATGTTTCAAGCATTTAAATACATCACTTTGTAGTTCTTAGAATGAAAACGGGTATGGATACTAATGTGCATTTTTTAAAAGTTTTTCCATGGCCTGAGTTAGAGCGAGACCCTGTCTCTGAAAAATAGCTGGTCGAGGTAGTCCCTGCCTCTCAGGAGGCTGAGACAAGAGAAATGCTTGAGCCCACGAATCTGAGGATGTTGTGAGGTATTATGCCACGGCACGTTGCCGGGAGCGACAAAGTAAAACTTTCTCCAAAAAAAAAGTTTTCCATACCTTTTTCTTCCCCCCTCATTGATAAGGTAGAATTTTATTACACAGGAATACAGAAGGAATAAAAAGTAACAGAGCTTCTGGCCATGGGGAAGACCCAAGTGGGAAATCTCCCTAGGTCCTTTGTCAAGGGTTATATTACATTTTGGCTAGGAATTGGTAGGTGGAAAAACACCTGTACAAACTTAATGAGTATATTAACAAATGAACGAATGCAGTCCCTCCCTTTGGGCAAGGTTTTGGTCTTAGCAATTTTTGTCTCAGGGTAGGGATTAGGGTAAATGCTCTGGCTGCTTTGTTCTTGACCTTACTAGAGTCCAGAAGGTGTGGTTCGGAAAAGCAGCCTGTTTGTGCCTATAGATGGGGGTCTGATTTCTGAACTTACCTGGGCCTAGAGAATGGGGGGATTCCTGTCCAGCCCTGGGTAGGGGAATCCTGTGTCAATCCTCCATCTCTGAATAGAAGCTCTGACTGCCATTAGGGGGAAAGAAGGGCAATCTAGGGTTCACAGTAAATGGAAATCTGGGTTAATCCCTCTAGCTTGGGGCAAAATGTCAGGATATTTTCTCAATGAAATTGCCTAGGCCTAGGAAACTGGGGTCCCTGGTCCAGCCTTGAATAGGAGAACCCTGTATCAATAGAAGGGGCCAATTAGGGTTTCCCCGGAGGGAGGGAGATCCAGGAATCTGCAACAGAATCAGGTCTTAGACTGGAACCTTTTTTACTGCCTGTGGCCTGATGACACCATCTCTGGAAGGTATAAATCTAATTAGCACTTCATCTGACATTATGGTACTCTACCAAGAATGACAAAATGAAGACGCTATCTCTAAAAAAAAATAATAAACAGCCAAAGTTTGCCTTTTAAATTTAAAGTCCAGTCAGGTCATGAGAAATATAAGTAATTAGGTCTCTTCCCAAGGTAGCTTAGTTGCCTCTGGGGTTAAGAGGGCTTCAGCTGCTAAAATCTATAGACAGTGTGCCATCCCTTGGCCATGGTGTCAGGTTTGTTTGTTTTTTGGAGACAGAAAATCACTTTATCGCCCTCAGTAAAGTGCTGTGACATCATAGCTCACAGCAACCTCCAACTCTTGGGCTTAGGCAATTCTCTTGGCTTATGTAAGGTAGAAAGAACTAATAAGGAGGTTATCAAGAGTATTAAGATAAAGCCAGGTATGGTGGCTCATACTTACAATCCTAGTACTCTGGGAGGCCAGGGTAGGAGGATCCCTTGACCTCAGGAGTTTGAGGTTGCTGTGAGTGAGGCTGACACCACAGCTGTCTAGCCTGGGTAACAGAGTGAATTG